GATAATCGCTTTGATACCGGAATTTAAATTTATTAAATATTTGATTGAAAAAAGTCAGAGAAAGAAAGACAAAATTAAAGTCTGAAGCCAAGCGAAAAATTCAAACATTTTCCAGTTTATGTATGTATGTAGGTGTGTATGTATGGCATATGCAGGGAAAGTTCATATTTTTTCCCTTTAAGCGAATTTGCAAATCTTTTTTATTTTGTTCTTTTTATCTTTTTTTTATTATTTACTTACTGCTGCTTTATTCGCTTTGCCTTCTGCATAAGGCAAATAAATACAATAGAACGACAAAAACACCGTTGTCATTCCGCGTGGAAAAACAATTGAAAATTTGTGTGTTTATCGGATATAAATAAATTGCCTTAAAGATTTTTATACCACATTTTCTGCAGTGTTGACTGCGCCATTATTACCGTTAAAAAAAAATATAAAAAAAATAACATCAAAAATGTAAGAAATAAAAATTTATGCTGTTGTCTTATGTGCAAAAGCGGCTTTGTGCTTGTGTGCGTGGGTTTGTTTGTGTCTGTGCCAGTATCTGACGGTGCATTATTTGAATATTTCAAGTACTCACGTGCGCTTGTTCTTGCTGTGCGGCAGCATTTATTTCACTCTGGTGTTCGATGGGCTCTCGTACATTTATATTACTGCTTTAATATGCCGTAAAGTGTGTGCGTTTATTAATACGATTGTGTGTATGTATTTACATTTATTACATGTGAACATTGGCGGCTCGAAATGCGCGTTGTGGAGGGTAGGAGTATTTTAAAATAGTGCCTTCAGTGCTTGAATGCGACAACGCGCTGTGCTACACCGCCCTCAGCGTGTCCCAGTATTTGGCCTCTAAAGGGATGGCAGCGTAGCTACAACCGCCTTATTCGGCCGATATGTCAGCATGTAACTTTTTTTTTGTTCCCTATAACAAAATCCATGCTCAAAGAACCCATTTTGAATCGATTGAGGATATCCAGGCGACCGTGACGAGGCTACTCGCGCACATCCCAGTCGAAGCGTTCCAGAAATGCTACGAAGCATGGAAAACGCGCTGGAATCATTGTATAGCTGACCAAGGGGACTACTTTGAAGGGGATGGCAGAGTTGTAGAATAATTTTGAAATATACGGCTTTTATGGAACCAGTCCCATTACTTAATTGTGACACCTCGATGTATGTTATGAATAAAAAGCATTAAGAATAGAGCTAAAATTAAGAATCAAAGAGAAAATCAAAATGAGGGCTTCTAGAGACTCCATTAAATTCAGAGAGCGCTCTAAAAATAGCATCGTAATTGTGATAATTGGCTTTAATTACATCTAAATATAACAGACAATGAGAGCGCGAATTTCTACTACCTAGAATAAAGTATGTGCACGTCGCCCAAGAACAACTTAGAATAACTGTTGTAGCTCGCAGTGGGTCGACCATTCTTTGCCGTTCTTTCAATTTGGGCACTCTCCAAACGTCACTACATCCTATTTTGCATATAGACTTGAACCTTAAGGCTTATAAAGTTCAGTTAAGCAAGAACTAAAGCCGGCCGATTTTCGATAATCAATCGTTGCGTCTTTGTTGATTGGGTTCTTGAGATGCATGAAAATGATACGAAATTTCATCGAAAAACCATCTTGACTAATGAGACCCATTTCCACCTCGATGGTTAGGTCAATCAGTTCAAAACTGTGGCATCTGCGGGTCGAAACAAGATTTATTGATGAAAAGTCTTTCCATCTTCAGCGCTTAGCTGTTTGGTGTAGTTTATGTCCCGTCCCGGCGGGGTCATTGAACTTTACTTTTTCGATTTTTGGATTGCATTATCGGAACTTGATTAAGATGATTTTTTGTGGCCGAAACTGGATGGTATTTAAATGGACTACATTTACTTTCAACAAGACGATGCCACGTCTCACATAAAGCCCCACTAGAGGTTGAAAGATAGACTCAATTTTTAAAATTTGTTCTAGGAATATGGAAGAAGGAATAAAATTTCTATTAAACCATTTCATTGAGCATATATTGAAGTTTAAAAAAATATTCTTTTATTATTATTTTATTACAAAATGGCGATGATCAAATCCATTAATGAATAAATGTTTTTGTTTTAAAGGCGTTCACGGGAGGGCCGATTTCTTCTAATGGATGAGACCTTGAATAGAAAGACCAAAAGTTTTATGGTCTACAAACTATGGTCTTTAGAATCACATATGTATGGATTTATTTTAAGCAAATTTTTTTAAAAAGTTTGATTTTTGACTGAAAAATACGCACTTAATTATTAAAGTAAAAATCGAAAAAACGGCACGTACTTTCAGGAAAAAAAATTTATTTGTGAAGCTACCATCAAAATGTCAGACAAATAGAAGCAATAGGCTCCGAATAAGCTGTGCTCCCAGTTTGAAAAATGTGATTTTGAGAGAGAGAAAAACGCGTTTAAAATTTCCTTAGTACTCAGCGCTCGCTCTGAGGGGCTGCAGCAAAATAAAAAGTTCACCTATTTGAATTATTTTTTTTTCACTTTAAACACAATTGCATATCATTTCTAGGACCCAAAGGTACCCTGTGAGTAAAAAAAATTGAGTTTTCCAAAATCCCAGATTGGCTTTGCCGCCAAAGGGATAAGTTTCTGGACCGTGTTATCTCTCGAAGAGGTTATTCCAGTTGGCCACCGAGAATAAGTGATTTAACACCAAGGAGCTTGAAAGGCAATGTCGATTCAAGATCTCAAACATGGAATGCGCGAAGTTATTGAGGGCGAGCAACAGCCACTTTGCGATTTGGTATTGGAAAATTTCAAAAAAGTTTACCTGTTTTTTACCATTATTAATGGCAGATCTTTCTTTTAACATTGAAATAAACAATCCATCACTTAACTCAAAATTTTTCACATTCTTTGGATGTCACCTCTTATTGGGAAATCGGTTATTAAATATTCATTCGAGTGTTTTTTTCACAAATCAAATCAGAACTCGTCCTCAAGCTATAAGTAAAAATCAACAATCTTTTAAATTCTGTGTAATGGTCTGGGAAACTCTCTGGAAATTTTTAAGAAACAAAGAAAATGTTAAAATAAAAAAATAAACAAAAATATTAAATCCCTGTACATTTGCGAATCCGCCACCAGTGTCAAATACAGACGAAGTGTTGCGTTGACGCTGGCATGTTGTTGCTGTTGTTTCTGAGTCCCTTCAGTGTTTTTCTGCATGAAATGTTTCGAATTGCTTTTTACTTGGCAGCAGAATTTAAGTGTTTTTCCTGACGCTGTTGTTGTTATCGTTAGCTTAAGCCTTGTTGTTGTTGTTGTTGTTCTTGTTATTGCCGTAATCTTTTTCGTTTTTGTTTTTTGTTTCGCATGTAAATAGTATATGTAAGCACCCGCTATTTTTTATTACTTAGTAGCGTGTCAGTGGCGGGCGCTGATTTGAAATTGGTTTTTGAAAATTCACTGCAGCGACGACTTGGACGAATGTCGGTTAAAGGAGGACGAAATGTATGTGTGTGTTTGTGAGAAGAAGATGATAATACATGGTATATATGTATGCATTTATGTATTGATCTTGTGGCTGTCCTCATAAAAACTGAAGAAGTGCTGTTCGGTTTGACTCACTACCATTTGTTTAACGGCATTTATGTAGGTAATAACAATTAATATATATCCATAAATACAATACATACAACACATGATATACACTTTCAGGCATTGGTTGCCAGTGCAATAATAATAGCACATAATTTGTTTTTCTCTCATTTTTTCTCTTATTTTCACCTCCATTTCTATTATTATTATGATGATTTTTCCTTTTTGTTTACAACCAATTGGGAATGGTGTTCCACTTTACCATTTAATCATGGAGCTTACATATACATATATATTTATGTCTTTATGTATACAAATACAGGAATAATTGCTGAGTTGAAATGCTGTTTGCTGACAAGAATCGAACTGAAAATATAGGCCGTTTGGCTTCTTCATTTATTGGGAGGAGTAGTTGGGCTGTCAGCGCCTTGAAGTATGCCATGAAAATTTGTGGATATACATAAAGTTTAACAGGGAAAAATTTATTTTCAATATTTAAGCAGAAAATAATTAAAATAGAAAAATTCGTAAACATTTAAGACTTAGTAAAAAGTTATCCACTTTTTTTGGCATTATATTGAAATTGAACCATAATTAGAATTATCCGATTTATGGCAAATAAGCACCGACAAATTTTCACGTTTTGAAGGTAAGACTATAAGTCTTCTCTCATAGAAACTCTTGTTGAATTGGCGAAAAATTAGAACAAACTAGCTTCACAGGTTTCCCTTGAGACCAAGTCTTCTCTAGCCAAATCATTCGCCTTAGATACGAGCAGCTGGTAATCACTTGGTGCGTGGTTCGGACTATAAGGTGGACGCGAAAGAACTTCTCAACCAAGCTCTCGTATCTTCTGGAGAATCTCTATCGATGTGCTTGAACCCTGAAGAAAAACAATTTCCCTCCGATTGACCGAAGTTAGGTACTTTTGGGCGATTAATTCCTGCAATTGCTGGTAGTGCATTTCCGAATTGAGAGAATGGTCGTCAGGGTGTAGCACACAGTGGATGATTCCTCGAAATACTCAACAAAACTTTGTCTTGAAGACTGTTTGTGTCGATCCACTGCTCTTGGAACATGACCCTTTTCGCTTGACGTTGCGAGGCGTTCGAGACTGGATGTTGTTTTTGCAATATTTAGCTCCTGGACAGTCAAAAGAGCGCTCGAGCGGCGTCCAGACTCGACGATTTCCACTATTTCATCGACATCTTTGACAATTGGCATTGGAATGAGTGGAACATTTTTATGTGCCAAAATCTGCTCTAAAGGAGGCGTCCTTTTCTTTTAGAAGAGCTAATGATTCGTTGAAATTTTAGATTAAGTCGTAAGCAGCAACTGCACTATGAATAATTTAATATATACATATATTTTATTATGTTAAGCCTTTGTACGAATTAAGAGATTTTTTTCTTTCTCTTTTCAGATTTACGCTTTTAAAATATTCAAAAATCACCCATCACCTAGGTAAGTTTGGTTTTATTATAAAATGGAAGTCTCAGACAAAAATTGGTTGTGGTTTTCCGTATTTTGTTCAATTCGTTTGAATTTTGGGTATTGGAAAGGAGGTGCTCGGGGAAGAAAGATTAAAAGTCTCAATGAAAAGAAGTTTCGCCTGAATTGAAGGCTGTTAATGTGTACGAGCTATGGCTTGGGTCAAGTAAAATGTTCCTTCGGGTTTTTATTGATTTTTCAAAATATGATAACTTTGCGTACATTTGTCCATTTTAAGCCGTTTTGTTCGTAAACTTGTTGTCAACAAGACGCCGACTTCATTATACCTCTCTCGTAGAAGGCTGCGTCCCCATTGACAAAAAAACTTGGAGAGCCTATTTTCAGAGGCCTCTCTTGAGGCCAACTTCTCACCTTTAAACACGTTCGCCGTGGACATGAAAAGATGGTAATCCCTTGGTGCCAGAGTAATTGGAATAATTTGTTTCCCTTGTAGCTATCCGCTCTAATTTGGTTGAGCTCAGGCCGCCTAGGGCCACAGCTTTGACCGGCCTAAGTTTTATTTTTGAGCTAGCTGCGAATACCCAATAAGCAGCCCCTCACCAAGAGCGACAGGAGAAGAGGGCTCGGCTTAAAAGGCCTGAAGAGGCCATATGATGCTCCGGTGACGAGGTGAATAGATGCCGCCTCGAAAAAAACATCCACAACCCCCAAGGGGCTGCCTGGTGGGAATACCTATCCATTAGAGGGAGACAACAGAGCGACATGGGACGCTACAACGAAACCCGTTACTCATAAATCCCCAAATGGTATGCATTTATACAAATGCTGGGCAAAGAAGATGACGCCGAGCATACAATCTTTCAATGCACTCGCTGGCAAGACGCGAGAATCAGACTTGAAAACCCAGTTGAAGAACGAAGAGTAGATAATATTGTCTCAATTATGCTGCAAGCGAAGCAAACTGAGTAACCGTAAAGGAGTTCGCAGTAAAAGTACTAGGAGCGAAAAAGCGTGACCTGGACGCAGGTGATGAGAAATAATCTCACTATGAGAAAAAAGTAACACCACCCTGAAGTAATGCAAAAGCGGTTCCAGGGTGAGCGACAGTTCCCTAGAGGAGAGTTGTTTAGTGACCTGCAGGTGGAACATATCATTGATGTGACGACACAATGATGATACGGGAGGCATTTTTCTTCTCCTTACCCGCAAAAAAAATATCCACTCTAATTGCGTAATGGGATATCTAACCTTCTCAGGCAGCATTGAACGGTTGACTGACGGGTGACGCGATGAATACCTTGACTTACTGACGACTGACTCATATATATAACCCTTGCTCTCCGACGGAGCGTTGGCTTCTTGTGCCTTCTAATTGGCTATCAAAAGACTCAGTTCGCGATGGCGAAGCTAATACATTGAGTTTGAATGCCATGGCTGTATCACGAATATCAAGGAAACATCTGGAATACACGAAGAAAGCTGTTCGATGAGTACCAACAATTTTAAAAGAGGCCTTAAAAGAGGCTCGAGTGCATTTTGATCACTTTTCCTAGACAAATTCGAAAATGGTCAGTCAAGCAACTTTAGTTAAGTCGTAACTGGTGATGAATCTTCGTGCTATAAGTATTGTACCATCCAGAAACCAAACAGCACTTCATGGTATGGAGCCCAATACCAAGCCCAACCGCAAAATTTAGGCAACTAGAATTAACAGCAAAAGTAAAGGTGGCAGTTTACTTCACCCGATCGAAAATCGTAACTGCTATACCCCTAGAAAAGGAGTCAGACGGTAGCTGCGAAATGGTACACCGAAGAGTGCTTACCAAAAATTTTCAAATATTTGTTGGAAAACAAGAAGAAAGAGAATTTGCGGCGCTGCTTTTTAAATTATGACAACGCGCCATTCCACAAGTAATTTTATTGCGATCTCTGGGATCCAAGAAATATGTCCAGCACCGTATTCCCCGGTTATATCACCTGGTGATTTCTGGTATTTCCAAAAGTTAAAAATATTTAACAGGAAAACTCCTTAATAACAGCGAGGAGATAAATAATGCAGTTAATGCTGAACTTGATGAGCTTGGAAGGCAAGATTTTGAAGACTGTTTTCATAATTAAGAGGAGAATATAAAAAGAACAAAGATTACGTATAAATACAAAAAAAATTTTTTTGGTCAACTTACAGAACTTTTGCTGATTCCCTCGTACAAACTAACTTTAGAAAATTAAAATGCCACTATCGATTTGTGGCACATCAAAAACTACGAAACCTGACAGCAATACAGCTGACAGGTGAGAAGGAAAAAGTTAAACCAATAGCAAAGAATTTGGGGATTCAGTTAAAGAAAAAAAACCAAAACGAAATTCCATGTGTTCATACAAAATTTTGGAGTAACCATTACCCCGAGGAATGCGCAACACAAACGCGGTTACTTATACACTAACTCGTAGCGCATTTTGTTGCATGCGAGAGCAATGCAATATTTAGAAGCTGTTTGGTGCAACAGTAGTAATACGCTAAGTGGCATTTTCCACGCGTCCGCTGCAGCTGTTACTTTGCGAATATTGGCATTTCCAAAGCGTGCATTTTTCGTGGCTCTCAGTGCGCAGCTCGTGCCTCTAACTCCCACTCGTCTCTTTGTGGTACAATACTCTTATGGTATTTTCGGGAAATTCACACATCACCGAATCCGTTTTTATATTGAATAACTAACTTTGCGTTATTTTCTACTTAATTTGTTTTTTTTTTTAGTTTTAGTTGCTTCAAACTAACGGTACACACGTATTGCAGAACGCAACTTAAGGGAAGCTTAATATGCAATATTGCTTTGGGATGCAATTAATTTATTTTAGTCACTAAGAAAATATGAGCGAGTGTTTAAAAGAAATAATGTTTTTATATGTTGTGATGTATATTTATACTCCATATATATATATGTATATATATAGAGCTATATTTTGACTATTTTCTTTACTATTCGTTTTATTAAAGGGATTGCAGATGCTGCAAGCGGAATTTCTTTTTCTTTTTCTTAGATTGACTGCAGTTTAATTTAACGGTTATGGCTTCAGACGCATGTTGAGTTTTCCTCATAGTGCAGTTTAGTTGAAATTCGGTCATGTGGCATACAATATTTTCTATTTATTCTCTCAATTTGACGTTATTTCTCAGAAAATCTATTCCCAAATGAGAAATTGAAAACTAAATTGCATGAAAGTCAGCTTGCATACACATATTGATACTATACATATTGACACAATTTCAATTCTCGAAAGTGCAGTAGAGAGCAAAGTGGTGCATTCTACGAGTAGGAGAGTCATGAGTTCGAGCATTGACGAGACCAACAACTGGAAAGGTTCCAACCAGCTTCCAGAAGTATTTCTGTTATGAAATCCCAATTTGTTATGGAAATTCATCAGCCATTCGTAGGAAGCTGTAAGCTGTAGACCACCAATGAGGGTAATAAATTTCCACTTACTTGCTTCATACTCAATGAAACTTTTTTTAACATCCTGCTGCACTTCAAAATATCCAACTAAATTTAAAACATTTAAATAAATTAAGTTCGACTATGATGACTATCGATTTATCGCGTCGGTTTCACTTAGGCCTATCTAAGATCCATAGTGATGCCACAAACAAAAATTTTATCGTGAGCCTTCGTTGTCCAGTCATTTTGTTTCTCTGGTGAAGTTTATTGAATCCACGACTTTGATGGCAGCTTTCTTTGATAGACCATCCAGCAGTAGGGTCTGAAAATTCCAAAACTTAGCCTTGCACAAAGCAGAGTAGCAGAGTCGCATAAGAGTTGGGTAATCGTTTCGTAAGTTTCTTGAGAAGCATTTTGAGAGTGGAAAAAGCCATGCCAATGCATCCTTTATCGAGAAGAATTTGCTGTCTTTCGGAGTATGGCAATTATCATACTAGTTAAATACCAGTTCATTTATGTGTGGGACGAATTTCCTGACTGTATGTGCAGAATATAAATAAAAAAAATTGATATTTCTAACGATGAAGCAAGCAGTGATACTCGACACGATAAATGTGGCTGTGAAACGCGTATTTCGTGGAGAAATTCGGTTACCGATTTTTTTAATTCGACAACCTGTATTTTGCCTTGAATTTCTGCGTAGTCTGGGACTTCCAGTTCTTTACTAGTGAAATGTTTTGCACTGAGTTAACATGACATCTTGGTCGCATTATATGCCATTCTGGTCAAAGCAGAATTTTCCGAGTAAACGGTGCCGCCTCCAGCGATATTCTTCTCGTCCAAAATGGAGATTTTTGCATATACTAGGTGATGGTATAGATACCCCAAATACATGCACAATATGATATAATAGTGTGTAATGCCAAACGCTTGCATTTAAAATTCTATTTTTTCTTCATTGGCAAAGGCATCACATCCGCCCATAGATGCAAATCAGGAATTGTGCGTCATTTGCTCTCTACCTAACTGAAAAGAGTGGATATATAACTTTTTTCTTTTATATATGTACATATGTCTTACGAATACATTCAAAGTTAGCAGAGTTCAATCATCAATTCGGACGACTTCAGCTAGCTACCGTACCCTACGTCTCTTTGTTCGAGGAATTAATAGGACAGCTCATTGCTCCATCATTTGAGTTATTCGCCGTTGTAACGCAAAGCGAGAGATGAAGACTTCCACAAAAGAGTTCCATCGTAGACTCCCAAGCGCACGCATCGGATTTCGAAATCGTCCACGTTTTTGCATCGTTTAGCTGAATGGAATGGAAATGATGATTGGCTTCTGGAGTTTAGCTTTTCGGTGTCGAGATGGAGTTCGGCTTATCAATTATCTACCCAGTTCAAAGTAGCACCAAAATGGGGTACAGCTTTAAGGTTATGACTGTCAGCAGTGATATGGCAGCCAAGTCACATGAGTGGGTATTGTACCATTAGTTTTACTTCTCAGTCTGAACTGAAAAAACAGAAGCGTGTTTCACGGCTAATGATATCAAAATCATTAACAAACGCCAAAAAGATG